CTCTATGTGAAATACCTATTGACATACAAGCATTTAAAAATCTAAATAAAACTATTACCATTGAGTTGTGGCATTATGGATGCTTTTTTTTCTTACTCTTGGTTTTTTACTACCTATATTTTCCAATTTTGTTTAGTTAACATATAGGGCATTAAAAGGCAATATGATTCTGCACTAATGAATATCAAAAAGTGCAAAGAGGTTGGAGAAAATGAGCACTTAAGGGTTTGGGGGTTTCAGAAAAGACTTCCCAGTACAAAGGAGAGGAAAGTTGAAAGCACAGCATGTTCCAAAGTTTACCAATGGGCCTATGTATCCACTTAGGGTAGAAGAGTCAATGGTAAAAGGACTTTGGAATTAAATAAAGATAGGAGACAGGTTGGTTTGAAACAAGGAAGTTAAAAAGTACTAATAATATCCAAGTAAGTATCTCAGACCACGTCAGAGCTTGGAAAACGACAGAAAGCAGAGAGGTGCCAAAGGAACGGAGTGAGCCCACTGACAGACACATCTTTACCTATTTCTTCACTCAAATCAATGGGCATCAACGGTGGGGCTGGTCTACCTGCGTGGGTTCTCTGCAGCGTTCTGTTTTCCAGGCTGCAGAAATGGTGCCAACTCTTGACTCTCTGTTGGGCGAGTAGATAAGAAACCATAAGAGGGATGAAGCAGGAAAGAAATGCAAGAAGGGACGAAAGAAAACCAGGAGAGGAATGAAAGAGAACGGCAGTTACTATAAAACAGGTAAAAGATACTTCAAGAAAAAACAATCAAAAGTTAATGCTAAAAAAGGTGACAGGAGGTTCAAATGTATGCCATTCCATGAAGATTAATCAAGGAGGAAGCCGCTGTGAGCAAGTGACGATGGTGTGCAGATCACCCAACGACACAGCACCAGCAGGAAAACTGCAGCACTTCGTTCTGTAATGCATTTTAATGAAGGTGCTTTTTTTAATGGCAAAAACAAAAACAGGTGGGGAAAATCACTCATTTTGACTAGGTCGGTATTGTTGTTTGCAGATACACTGGGTGATACTGCGGAAATGATCTGGTGTTATGTTTTACTATATGCTACAATGTCTTCTCACAGACAGTAGTCAACTTCACCCCGTAATGTTAAAAGTGAAATTAGTGTGGAAGGGAGGTAGAAAGAAACTGGAAACAAGTAAATTTTTCCAATTTTTATTTGAAATTATCTAATCAGAGCAACTTGCTGCGCTTCCCTCTTATTGCTAACAGTCCTGCCTTTTTATCCCATTGGACCTTCTGTTTTTTGCTGTGTTCCTTGTGCTTAAAAATAAATACATTTGCTCTAATTTTTAGGTGGAAAAAAAGGCAACCAACAGTAAATATCTAACCAAAGGTCAAGAGAAAAATTGTACTAAACCAGTAGGTGGAATCTAAGAAAAGAGCTTATTCATTGGTTTCCCTTTTCTTCTATCATTTACAGGATTATCCTCATTTCAACTGAATAATTGCTTAGTTATTCCCCCAAGCATTCTTCCCTCCCTTTGTAACAAACTATATAGCCATTAAGGCTGTTTACACCTTAAGTCACTTTGGCATAAACTGAAAGAATTGAGACTGGCTCAGCTCTTTAATCCTTTTTATAAAACCAGAATTTGAACCAGGAAAAAAATGCATCTGAGACCAGTGTAATCTTTATAAAACTATTAATAATTTGGGTTCTATATGGAGCTAACAGGCCTTGGTCTAGCAACTAAACAGCAGATATGAAGTTTAAAAATGTTGATAAATAGATGACAAGCCTAGAGTTTTCTTATCAAATTACTCGATGAGACAAAAAAAATTACAGTGATCAATAACCAAAAAAGGAGGTAATGAGATCACATACATGTAGAAATAGTTTGGTTTTTTTATTTTTTTAATTTTTGGCCACACCACGTGGCTTGTGGGATCTTAGTTCCCCGACGAGGGATGGAACCTGTGCCCCCTGCAGTGGAAGTGTGGAGTCATAACCACTAGATCGCCAGGGAATTCCTGAAACAGTTTAATACTTTTTTAAAAACTCAAGAAAATTCTTGTTCTGGTTAATTATTGTACTGTGAGTCCCCATCTCCTATCTCCATTGACCTTCTGAAGTTCAATTTCTATGATAAACTTTCCATATGGCACATCCATTGTTTAAACAGGGATAGAAGACTTTTGGCTCTAATAATAGAATGACAGTTACCTTTTCTCAAGCTCTTGCCAACAGTGCTGGGCACTATTCCAACAGCTTCACAGGACTTAAGGACTTAGGATTATCTGATTTTCCCGCCAGCCCCTTTGAACGGCATCATTAGTCTCACTTTACAGTTGCGTCACAGGGACCAACAGGGATCTAGTTAAGAAAGTTAAGTTCCCAGTTAGGGAAGTAGCAGATCGGGGATGAGAGTGAACACTAAGTGACCACAGAAACCAGATCCATGGGGTATAAAAACTTCATATTCTCAAATGTCATTTGAGAGCTACAGTGAGTCACTCCAAGAATCCTAGCTGTGGAACTGATTCTTTTTCCATGTTTAAATAACCATCCGTAGATTAAAATGTTTCCACTTTGAAAAAGTAGTCCCTTTGGCATCAGATGTTTCCAAAATGTGTTTTCTGCCTTTATAGTGAGTGTTCAACCTTTTGCAATTGTATCCAGCATCTGAGCAGCTTAGGGTAAGGGTTATGAGTGTGGGTTCTGGATTTAATTATCTCACTGTGAAATGGGGGTGATGTTATTAGTACCTACCTCATGGGTGTTTGTAAGAACTTAGAGAGATAATATATCTCACCTATTTAACACAGCAATAATAATATAGCCAACCCATGCAGTTGTAACAGGTCCAATTCTAAACACTTTACATGGAATAACTCTTTAACACTCTAAAGCGACCCTATAAGGAGTATATTCTTATTATCCTCATTGTACAGACAAGGAACTAAGGCAGAGAGTGGCTAACAAACCTGCCAAAGACAGAGCTGGTGTTGGAGCCAGAATGCTAACCCCAAGTTCATGCTCATAACCATGACACGAGACAGCCCCCACTGTACCTACGGTAAGCGCTTAATGAAATGCTAGCTCTCTGGACAGCTCACCTGAGGCTCGCTGGGCAGAGGCCTTGCTAACTTAATTACTGAATCACTGAGAAGTCAGTCTGGTTTATAAAGTCCTCCCCACAGCATCAGAAACCAGTAGTTTTGTTTGCTGGGTAGTTACAGGTGCAGCATCAATCCCCCGTCACTCGGTGGCCTGGAAGACAAGCTCTGTAAGCCTCCTGGGTGAGCAGAGTGGCTGGAGGGGGCTCCCCACCAGCACTCAAGAGCCCATATTGTAGTCCTGACTCCGCCACACGTGGCCTGTGTAACCCTGACCCATGCATTTCACCTGTCGTGGCTTCAGTGTTTCCTCTGTAAACCAAGGGGAATGGGACAGGGTAACTGGAAAGGCTCTTTCCTACCCTGAAATTTCAGGATTCTATGAGGACAAGGTCTGAATAAGTGTTCCTGTTAAAACACCAGTGGTGCAAAGCTCCAGTAGGCTAATCACACTTCAAACCAGGGATGAGGGCATCCACAACTCCTACCTTCTTGAGATTCATGTTGTACAAGAAAACGGTTTGAGGAGGAGGTCTCAAAAAAGGAATCTAAGGACAAAGAAGACAATTTTTGTGTGTGTCATCATTTTTTTTTCAAGGGTTAATAATGATTGCTGTCCATATCTAATTGTGCTGATTTGTTTCCAGTAAAATTCCCACCAAGGACTTAAGATACTCTATGCTTCCAGAAGGACAAAAATGAATAGGGAATCTCAAGGGTACTCTTCTTAAAGAATGAGAGAATTAACTTAATTGGTCATAGGTGAATTATCTACCGGAAAAGTATTAACAAATCATTTTAGATCTTGGACTGCCTTTCATATTCCAATCATACTCTTGACCTCTATATTCATTCTCTATGTATTGATATGACAAATTACCAGAAACTCAGTGGCTTAAAACAATACAACTTCATCATCTGACAGTTCTGTAGGTCAGAAATCCAACACCAGTTTCACTGAGCTAAGATCAAGGTGTCAGCAGAGCTGCGTTCCTTTCTGACATCTCTAGGAAAGAATCTGTTTTCCTTGTTTTCTCTAGCTTCTAGAGGCCACCATATCCCTTGCCTCATGGCTCACTTCCTCCTCTTTAAAGCCCGCAGCACAGCATCTCTCCAACTCTACCTCCATCATCACATCTCTTTCTCTGACTCTCTTCTACCTCCCTCTTCCACTTTTAAGGACCCTTGTGATGGCACTGGGCCCACCCAAATAATCCAGGAAAATCTCCCTGTTTTAAAGTCAGCTGATTATCAATCTCAATGCCATCTGCAACCTTAAATACCTCTGCCATGTAACCTAACATATTCACAATTTCCTAGATTAGAATGTGGACATCTTTGGGGAAAGGAGAAGGGTGCATTATTCTGCCTACCACCATCTCTTCCCTCTTTCTGTTGTCCTTCAGATGCAATGAACTCACAGAAGATCAATATATATAAACACTTTACAAAATCAAATAGGAAGGGCTTCCCTGGTGGCGCAGTGGTTGAAGGTCCGCCTGCCGATGCAGGGGATGCGGGCTCGTGCCCCAGTCCGGGAAGATCCCACATGCCGCGGAGCGGCTGGGCCCGTGAGCCATGGCCGCTGAGCCTGTGGGTCCGGAGCCTGTGTTCCGCGATGGGAGAGGCCACAACAGTGAGAGGCCCGCGTACCGCAAAAAAAAAAAAAAAAAAAAAAATCAAATGGGAATTGGAAAGTAAATGCATCCTCATCTTCCCCTCCTTCCGTTCTTTAAAACTGTAGGATGTACAGGATTCCAAAGTCAAATAAGTATCACTCATATTGGTTGTCATTGCCCATTAACTGCTCACTTGCTTTCCTTCATTTGCATAGATAATGGACATTTGACAAGATTTTCTTTAGTTTTCTTTCTGGGTAAATTTATCATTTTGCTATGTTTTGTAATACTTAGGACATAATGATGTCATCCAAGCCAACAGCCTTCCCCAGAATGTGTGAAACCAAACCTAATCCCTACCCACCAAGCTACTCTACGGCTCCTGGGTCTCAACAACCTCTGAGTTTCATCAGCCTAGGAAACCAAGCGCAGAGTGGCCAGCCTCCCTTCATTACTTCTCCAGGAACCTTCACCAACAGTCGGCAGGGTCCAGGAAATATACAAATGGTAAGTTAAGCTAGAGGAGAAGCAGCTACAAGCTTTAAAGAAGAAGCAAAGACACTAGGGGTAAGTCTACTTACTACTAGAATTTTTATTTTGCATTTGTAAGGTTTTATTGTGCTTATAAGCTATAGGTGGAGAGAAGTTTATGATCTCATGACATACGCCCAATCATTAGAAAGGCTGGAATGCTACCCTGGAAACAGTATCCCTTTTAGGTAGACATAATTAGTCTGCATATAGATTTTGCCCCCAGATTCATTTTACTTTGGATTCAAGCAAAAATCTAATGGGTGACAAAGGATTCTTTGTAGCAGGATGATTCAGTAACACTGACATTCTGGAAATGCCACCACTTCTAGCTTGATCTCACTTTTGCAAAGGATATTCTGGGTACCCTCCATCCTGTCTCTGGATTAGTTTCAAGCCTGGTATTTGTATAGAGGCAAGCTCATATTGAGGGCTGCCTTAAAAACAGAAGGGACTACAAATGGGCTGTCTGGGGAAACTGGGTGTGAAAGAACTAGGGGCCATTCCATCTGCTCTCCCCTCACCCAGTTCCCATGGAGATGTTATGACTTAACTGCAGGTCAGTTCCATATGGGGCACTTTGACCATTCCTAATCTAGTTCATAGAGGCACTGTAAATAAAATAAGCCCTATATGTACGTGAAGGCTCCACTGGCATAGGTGGCATTATTCGCTCCTTTGCTGTGCTTTTGAAGAACCTCTTTCACGCCACTAACACAACTCCTCCAAGTGGTACTGTCCCTCCCTGTGTGCAGCTCTAACTTCTCTGCTAGAGGCTTCCATAAATTATATTGAGTGCCCATTACATGCCAGAACTCTTCTAGCCATCACAGGAAAGTAAAACTGAGCGTCGGCCCCCCTGCAGCAGGCAGATGTAAGCTGGGAGGTGGCCTCTCAGATCCTCCTCCTGCCAGAGAGAGGAAGTTCCCTGCTCCCATTGGGCCACTGGCACAAACTAGCACACCACACAGCTGGCCCCATACAGGTGCTGGGACTACGGCAGAGAACAAATCAGGCATAACCTCTGCCCTCATGGAGCTCAGAACCTAGTGGGAGAATCAGACTACACACATAATAAAGAATTAAGGTACACAGTGTGCTGGAAGTTGATAAAATATATGAAAAGAATAAAGAAGTGTGAAAGGGATAAACAGTTGCAGGCAGTGAGGGGGTAGCAGTTTCAAGCTGGTCAGAGCAGGCTTTCCTTAGAAGACGACATGTGAGCAAAGACATGAAGTGAGGAGTGAGCCTTGTGGATGTCAGGCAAGAGGTTCCCGGTAAAGTCAGAAGGTCTTTCGAGGAAAATGTGGCATGTTTGAAGAACAGGGAGGAAGCAGATAAAGTGGAATAGAGGGCTTCTCTGGTGGCGCAGTGGTTGAGGGTCCGCCTGCCGATGCAGGGGACACGGGTTCGTGCCCCAGTCCGGGAGGATCCCACATGCCACAGATATGGATATGGAAGAACGGTTTTTTAGAGGAGAAGACTCACAGCTTTTATCAGAGTCTCAACTTCATTATTCAAAAAATATTAATCTCTTAGCATTGTTTAGGAAGCTGTGGGGTTCTTTTCTAATCCTGATTCAATTTAATTGCATTTGGTAGCTACTTGTTAAAGAAATAAACACAGCAATCACTGTATTTTCAGTATTCCTGGACAGATAAGATGTAAACTTTGAAAGAAACAATTAACGTCCAGTCCAATCTAGCAACAGTTATCTCTCACAAATCTGTTTATCAAGGATGAAAGAAGGTATACTAAGAGGTACTGAGATGTATCCACTGTCTGAGAATACATGATGGGCCAATAAGGAAATGTTTGCATACCTGCAATTTGAAAAAGAACAATATAAATGAGTACAAAACTAAGAAATAAGGTGTGTGATTTATATCATAAGATACAACAGAATTTAAAAAAGAAAAACAAGGTAGCTTAAATTCACTGGTACAATCAAGAAGAGCTCATGGAAGAAGTGAAGCTGAGCCTGAGGGGATAGTTAAGACATGGGCTCTGGAGTCAATTTGCTGCATTAAATTCCCAGGTCTGGGGCTTCCCTGGTGGCGCAGTGGTTGAGAGTCCGCCTGCCGATGCAGGGGACACGGGTTCGTGCCCCGGTCCGGGAAGATCCCACATGCCGCGGAGCGGCTGGGCCTGTGAGCCATGGCCGCTGAGCCTGCGCGTCCGGAGCCTGTGCTCCGCAACGGGAGAGGCCACAACAGTGAGAGGCCCACGTACCACAAAAAAAAAAAAAAAATTCTCAGGTCTGCCCCTCAGTAATTGTGTGACCTTGGGCACTGCTATGGTCTGAATGTTTCTGTCCCCCTCCAAAATTCATAAGTTGAAGTCCTAACTCTCAAAGATGATAGTATTAGGAGGTAGGCCTTTGGGAGGTGCTTATTAGGTCATGAGAGTGGAGTGCTCGTGAATGAGATTATTGCCTTATAAAAGAGACTCCTGAGAGATCACTCACCCTTTGCACCATGTGAAGACACAGAGGCACGGGCTGTGAACAGGAAGAGGGCCCTCACCACAAGGTGACTGTGCTGGAATCTTGAACTTGGACTTCCCAGCTTCCAGAACTGTGCACAATAAAATTCTGTTGTTTATAAACCACACAGTCTGTGGTATCTTGTTACAGCAGCCTGAACAGAGTAAGACAGATACCTAATTTCTTAAAGTCTCTGTGTCTCCATCCCGTTGTTTGGGAGGATTACATGTACAATAAATGTAAAGTGCTTAGAAATTATCAAGCATATTGTTAATGCCTAATAAATTGTTTTTTCTTCATTGATACTTTCCCCAGAACTCGGATTACCTAAGCAGAGAACTGGTCCATTTGCAAAACACAGTCATTGAAGTCACAGTTACAGCAATTTTTTCTAAGAGTCTTGGAGGCTCTCAGGGGATGCTAATGCATGCCTATGCAGTAGTACTTTTTGAAGAATCCTTGGGCCACATGAACAAGCCTCCCCAAATACCTCAAACAAGGCTTTACTGAAAACTTCCCTAATATGGGAAAGGAAAGAGTCAATCAAGTCCAGGAAGCGCAGACAGTCCCAGACAGGATAAATCCAAGGAGAAACATGCCAAGCAAGACACATAATAATCAAAGTATCAAAAATTAAATACAAAGAAAAAATATTAAAAGCAGCAAGGGAAAAACAACAAATAACATACAAGGGAATCTCCATAAGGTTAACAGCTGATCTTTCAGCAGAAACTCTGCAAGCCAGAAGGGTGTGGTAGGACAAATATAAAGTGATGAAAGGGAAAAAACTACAACCAAGGTTACTCTACACAGCAAGGATCTCATTCAGATTTGACGGAGAAATTAAAACCTTTACGGACAAGCATAAACTAAGAGAATTCAGCACCACCAAACCAGCTTTACAACAAATGCTAAAGGAACTTCTCTAGGCAGGAAACACAAGAGAAGTAAAAGACCTACAATAACAAACCCAAAACAATTAAGAAAATGGTCATAGGAACATACATATCGATAATTATCTTAAACGTGAATGGATTAAATGCTCCAACCAAAAGACACAGACTGGCTGAATGGATACAAAAACAAGACCTGTATATATGCTGTCGACAAGAGACCCACTTCAGACCTAGGGACACATACAGACTGAAAGTGAGGGGATGGAAAAAGATATTCCATGCAAATGAAAATCAAAAGAAAGTTGGAGTTAGCAATACTCATATCAGACAAAATAGACTTTAAAATAAAGATTATTACAAGAGACAAAGAAGGACACAACATAATGATCAAGGGATCAAACCAAGAAGAAGATATAACAATTGTAAATATTTATGCGCCCAACATAGGAGCACCACAATACATAAGGCGAATGCTAACAGCCATATAAGAGGAAATTGACAGTAACACAATCATCGTAGGGGACTTTAACACCCCACTTTCACCAAAGGACAGATCATCCAAAATGAAAATAAAAAAGAAAACAAAAGCTTTAAATGATACATTAAAAAACATGGACTTAATTGACATTTATAGGACACTCCATCCAAAAACAACAGAATACACTTTCTTCTCAAGTGCTCATGGAACATTCTCCAGGATAGATCATATCTTGACTCACAAATCAAGCCTTGGTAAATTTTAAAATATTGAAATCATATCAAGTATCTTTTCCAACCACAACTCTATGAGACTAGATATCAATGACAGGAAAAAATCTGTAAAAAATACAAACATATGGAGGCTAAACAATACATTGCTAGGTAACCAAGTGATCACTGAGGAAATCAAAGAGGAAATCAAAAAATACCTAGAAACAAATGACAAAGAAAACACAACAACCCAAAACCTATGGGATGCAGCAAAAGCATTTCTAAGAGGGAAGTTTATAGCAATACAATCCTACCTCAAGAAACAAGAAACATCTCAAATAAACAACCTAACCTTACACCTAAAGCAATTAGAGAAAGAAGAACAAAAAAAAAAAAAACAAAGTTGGCAGAAGGAAAGAAATCATAAAGATCAGATCAGAAGTAAATGAAAAAGAAATGAAGGAAACAATAGCAAAGATCAATAAAACTAAAAGCTGGTTCTTTGAGAAGATAAACAAAATTGATAAACCAGTAGCCAGATTCATCAAGAAAAGAGGGAGAAGACTCAAATCAACAGAATTAGAAATGAAAAAGGAGAACTAACAATTGACACTGCACAGGATCATGCAAAGGATCATGAGAGATTACTACAAGCAACTTTATGCAATAAAATGGACAACCGCGAAGAAATGAACAAATTCTTAGAAAAGCGCAACCTCCCGAGACTGAACCAGGAAGAAATAGAAAATATAAACAGACCAATCACAAGCACTGAAATTGACACTGTGATTAAAAATCTTCCAAAAAACAAAAGCCCAGCACCAGATGGCTTTACAGGCGAATTCTATCAAAAATGTATAGAAAAGCTAACATCTGTCCTTCTCAAACTCTTCCAAAATATAGCAGAGGGAGGAACACTCCCAAACTCATTCTACGAAGCCACCATCACCATGATACCAAAACCAGACAAAGATGCCACAAAGAAAGAAAACTACAGGCCAATATCACTGATGAACATAGATGCAAAACTCCTCAACAAAATACTAGCAAACAGAATCCAACAGCACATTAAAAGGATCATACACCCTGATCAAGTGGGGTTTATCCCAGGAATGCAAGGATTCTTCAATATACGCAAATCAATCAATGTGATAAACCATATTAACAAATTGAAGGAAAAAAAACATATGATCATCTCAATAGATGCAGAAAAAGCTTGCGACAAAATTCAACACCCATTTATGATAAAAGCCCTCCAGAAAGTAGGCATAGAGGGAACTTAGCTCAACATAATAAAGGCCATATATGACAAACCAACAGCCAACATCGTTTTCAATGGTGAACGGTGAAAAACTGAAACCATTTCCTCTAAGATCAGGAACAAGACAAGGTTGTCCACTCTCACCACTATTATTCAACATAGTTTTGGAAGTCCTAGCCACGGCAATCAGAGAAGAAAAAGAAATAAAAGGAATAAAAATTGGAAAAGAAGAAGTAAAGCTGTCACTGTCTGCAGATGACACGATACTATGCATAGAGAATCCTAAAGATGCTACCAGAAAACTACTAGAGCTAATCAATGGATTTGGTAAAGTAGCAGGTTACAAAATTAATGCACAGAAATATCTTGCATTCCTACACACTAATGATGAAAAATCTGAAAGAGAAATTAAGGAAACATTCCCATTTACCATTGCAACAAAAAGAATAAAATACCTAGGAATAAACCTACCTAGGGAGACAAAAGACCTGTATGCAGAAAACTATAAGACACAGATGAAAGAAATTAAGGATGATACAAACAGATGGAGAGATATACCATATTGATACAAACAGATGGAGAGATATACCATATTCTTGGATTGGAAGAATCAACATTGTGAAAATGACTATACTACCCAAAGCAATCTACAGATTCAATGCAATCCCTATCAAACTACCAATGGCATTTTTCACAGAACTAGAACAAAAAATTTCACAATTTGTATGGAAACACAAAGGACCCCGAAAAGCCAAAGCAATCTTGAGAAAGAAAAACAGAGCTGGAGGAATCAGGCTCCCTGACTTCAGACTATACTACAAAGCTACAGTAATCAAGACAGTATGGTACTGGCACAGAAACAGAAATATAGATCAGTGGAACAGGATAGAAAGCCCAGAGATAAACCCATGCACATATGGTCACCTTATCTTTGATACAGGAGGCAAGAATATACAATAGAGAAAAGACAGCCTCTTCAATAAGTGGTGCTGGGAAAACTGGACAGCTACCTGTAAAAGAATGAAATTAGAACACTCCCTAACACCATACACAAAAATAAACTCAAAATGGATTAAAGACCTAAATGTAAGGCCAGACACTATAAAACTCTTAGAGGAAAACATAGGCAGAACACTCTTTGACATAAATCACAGCAAGATCTTTTTTGACCCACCTCCTAGAGTAATGGAAATAAAAACAAAAATAAACAAATGAGACCTAATGAAACTTAAAACCTTTTGCACAGCAAAGGAAAACATAAACAAGGTGAAAAGACAACCCTCAGAATGGAAGAAAATATTTTGCAAATGAAGCAACTGACAAAGGACTAATCTCCAAAATTTACAAGCAGCTCATGCAGCTCAATATCAAAAAAACAAACAACCCAATCCAAAAAGGAGCAGAAGACCTAAATACACATTTCTCCAAAGAAGACATACAGATTGCCAACAAACACATGTAAGGATGCTCAACATCACTAATCATTAGAGAAATGCAAATCAAAACTACAATGAGGTATCACCTCACACTAGTCAGAATGGCCATCATCAAAAAATCTACAAACAATAAATGCTGTTGAAGTGGGAATGTAAATTGATACAGCCACTATGGAGAACATTATGGAGGTTCCTTAAAAAACTAAAAATAGAACTACCATACGACCCAGCAAACCCACTACTGGGCATATACCCTGAGAAAACCATTATTCAAAAAGAGTCATGTACCACAGTGTTCATTGCCGTTCTATTTACAATAGCCTGGAGATGGAAGCAACCTAAGTGTCCTTTGACAGATGAATGGATAAAGATATGTGGCACATATATACAATGGAATATTAACTAGCCATAAGAAGAAAAGAAATTGAGTTATTTGTAGTGAGGTGGATGGACCTAGAGTCTGTCATACAGAGTAAAGTAATTCAAAAAGAGAAAAACAAATACCGTATGCTAACACATACATATGGAATCAAAAAAAAAAGTTTTTGAAGAACCAAGGGGCAGGACAGGAATAAAGACGCAGACGTAGATAATGGACTTGAGGACACGGGGAGGGGGAAGGGTAAGCTGGGACGAAGTGAGAGAGTGGCATGGACATATATACACTAACAAATGTAAAATAGATAGCTAGTGGGAAGCAGCCGCATAGCATAGGGAGATCAGCCCGGTGCTTTTTGACCACATAGAGGGGTGGGATAGGGAGGGTGGGAGGGAGGGAGACACAAGAGGGAAAAGATATGGGAACATATGTATATGTATAGCTGATTCACTTTGTTATGAAGCAGAAACTAACACACCATTGTAAAGCAATTATACTCCAATAAAGATGTGAAGAAAAAAAAGAAAAAAACAAGGCTTTACGCTGAGGCCATGGCCCTAGCGTATGTCAAAGTCTTAATGGCCCACCTCCTGTAGAGGTATAGCTAAATGACAGCATGGATCTTGACAGAGTTGACAATAAATAAGGAGCAGCAGCAATGATAGTGATGTTTCAGTGGTGCCTGAAGATGAAGAAGCAATTTTTAAATGTCCGTTTTCTTTTTTCAGGCAATCCAGATCATGACTGGATTGATGCACATTGACTTCGGAATTACTTGGGGTTTAATGGCCTCTATTTATAACCAAGAGTTGGGTTTTGCTTCCTTGTCTTTTATTGACGGATATCCATTCTGGGGCGACCTCTCTGTGAGTAGCCTGCTGCAACAGCTGCCCTTCTCAGCTTATCAAGTAGAGCTGTCCCCAGTCTATGTACAACTCATCTTTTAATAAGCCCTGCATCTGATCAGCTGGAGAATTTAGATACTAGATATTAATATTAGATATTAATTAGATAGAGAATTAAAGAAAGAAGAGCTTTTGTTCTCCATTTTAACTTGCAGCCTAAACTCACACCCTAAAGTTTACACTAATCAAGTAACCAGCAAACCAAAGTTTTATTTCCCTATTACATTTTAGATGGAAATGTATGTGCTGGGTGGACAGTGGCAAAAAGAGGTGATCGGGAACATGATTAAAAATATGCAATTGATCATGAGAAGAGACTGAGCAGTCAGGTCAGAAGTCATCCGAACAAGGAAAACTTACAAGGGAATGAGGTCTTTTTATGAGAGAAACTAAGGAGAAAAAAGAAAAGGATGTCAAAAGGACATAGAAACCTCGAGAGTTACTCCAAAAAATTGAGAAGTACAAGAGGAATTTTTGAGAGGGAAATATAAATAGGTCAACCTTTCATCATATAAAGAGAAGTATTTCCCAGGAAAAATCAAAGGACCCATCATTTCACAAATAAATTTGTTTCTTTCTACAGTTCATTATTACTGGAGCACTCTCTATTTCGGCATCCAAGCAGTTTTCCCCTTGTCTGGTAAGTTAGAATGTTTCTACTTTTTAACCCCTTTAAAGATTAACTTATTTGGGTAAGAAAACTGAGAAGGCAGATTCAGCAAATAAGAAGGGGAGCATTTTTTTCCCAGAAGTATCTGTGGGTTGCCTCCATGGTACGTATGCCCTCACATGGTCTACACAATTTACCACTCAGAAATGGCAGAGCTCAACATCCCGACTCCTTAATTCACAAAAGTGGAAATTAGTAAAGATGGGGTTGTTTACTTCCAAGGCTCCCTGGTTCAGTGGGGTCACACTGCACGGGGGAAACTCCAAACAGAAACAAAGAAGTCAGGGGACACCCTCTTGCCACTTCAGTATCAAAGACTCTACTATGCATTTGCTATTTCTCAGTTCTGCCTTGCCTTGTATTGTTATTTTTTCTTTGTGCATGTCTCCTAGTCTTATCCAGATTTGACTTTTGTTTTATAGTTCTTCAGATCATCATGAAAAACACCTAGCTCAGTACCTATGAAGAGTCCATAAATCCCTGAGACAGGCCTTTCAATTCTTTCTGTCACAGCACTCCACCTTTTGCAATCTCCTGGTCCACTTTTGAAACAGGAGAAAGAAAATGGTTTGCCAAGAACTAGAGACAACTAGAACAGAAGTGGTTTCAAGATTATATTTAATCCAGCACAAGAGGGAAGAACTGGAAAATAGGAACACAGAGCCATGTTACTCATACTTTCCCAGACTAGAGTACACTTGACTAAAAATAAAATAAAATAAATCAGTCTAATCTTGACTACTCTTGTTGTAATCCAAAAACAAAATAAAATATCCTTTCACTGCATGATTTAGAGATCCTTCCCTCTAACTATGCTTGTCCAAGCATAGAATCTGTCCATTTGGAGAAGAGAGCTAAAATTATACCTAAAGCGATTCTTCTAGGAGCCCTTTAGAGGCCTTCAGAAGACTATCTAAGGCATGCTGAAGCAGTAGCACGTTCCAAAGAACTCCTAACAAGTCAGCTGAGGACTTGGTTTCACAATTATTCTGCTGAATTTCAAAGTCTTGTAGAAACTGGGGAACGTTTTATACTCTGCCCATTTACCCCTACCCTCAAAAGCCTAACAAGTTCCTCATTCTATATCTATCTAGTCCTTAGAAAGACAAGGGTTTCATGAATTCCTAAATTTATCAGCACAGATTTTTTTGTGTGTATATACTTTTCCATCTATAAAATTGGATGCTATATAGTACCACCTCACATAGTGGTTGTAAGAGTTCTACGAAATAACGCCTTTACATGATTTAGTACAGTGACTGTCACAGAAAAAATGCTCGTTATAAGTTTGTCATTTTATTGTTTTAAAAAGGGAATATAATTGTTATTTTGCATGAGGCTTAGACAAATATAATAGATGAGCTTCTGCTTTGTATTATTTACATTTTTCTACAGATCTTAGAAATATCCTACATTTAGGTGGCATATAGAATAGTTTTCATGGTAACTATCCAGAAGGGAAGAGGAAAAAAATCATTTCAATTTTTTTTTCAAGATTTCAAAGATTAAGAACCGTTAGATTTAATTGCTTCTTATTTCATTTAATTTCACTCATCTTACATATGATTTACTTTTCCTGCCATCTCCCTCAGATAAAAGGCAGCCTAGGAATGAACATTGTTAATTCTGTCTTTGCCTTCATTGGGGTGATTCTGTTGCTGGTGGATGTGAGCATTAATGGGCTGCCTAATCAAGACTACTGGGCAGTGGTAAGTATCCCATCACCTACCATGTGCCTCCTCTCTTTCCACTCACTTAGAGTGGATCTATATTTTATTTCTTATTACTGTACAGCAGCTCTAGTAGTAAATCCCTTTTTCTATTCCAGCCCTACTCCTGGTCATGTGATCTCTAGGACTAGAGAATAAAGTGGGAGAGTCACCTCTGTAGATGGACTAGGGCAGAAAGGGCACCCCTTCGTGGTCCATCTCATGGGTAGTCACATAGGGAAGACTCCTAAAGGGTATACAGAAATACTGGGAAAAAAAGCTCCCGGAAATAAAAGAGTAACTGAATTTGCACGCTGAATGAGAATAACCTATACTAGGAGAAAGAGATGCAAAATAAGTGAGATACAGATATAGATACATAGATATCAATACTGATGTTGATACATATTGAAATATATGTATCCTTGTTAAGGCATAAGGTATAGAAAAGGATTCTTTGAGGTTTTAGGCAGAAAAATCAAATTACTTACAAGCAGGAAAAAAAATCAGCTTGACTCAGTCTCTACTACAACAACTTTCAGTGAGGGAAAATCATGGAGCAAAATATCTATAAAGTTTTGATGAAAAGAAAATGTGACTCAAGAATAACAAGTCCAGGGACTTCCCTGGTGGTGCAGTGGTTAAGAATCCACCTGCCAATGCAGGGGATATGGGTTCAAGCCCTAGTCCGGGAAGATCCCACATGCCACGGAGCAACTAAGCCCCGTGTGCCACAACTACTGAGCCTGCTAGCCACAACTGCTGAGCCCGCGAGCCACAACTACTGAAGTCCACACACCTAGAGCCTGTGCTCCACAACAAGAGAAGCCACTGCAATGAGAAGCCCATTCACTGCAACGAAGAGTAGCCCCCTACTCGCCACAGCTAGAGAAAGACCGCACGCAGCAACAAAGACCCAATGCAGCCAAAAATAAATAAATAATTTTTTTTTAAATTTTAAAAATAAAAAAAGAATAACAAGTCCAATAAAATCCTTGTGAAAGTATAAAAGCAACAAGAAGATACTCTCAGTAAAACAACAATAACACACATGGGCACTGCTGCTAAAAAAAAAAAAGAATAGTAATATTCAACCATACATGAGGTAGATTAAATCAAGAATGTAGAAACGCAAGGAGAAGCTGTGTAAGGAGATTCATGAGAAGCACAAAAACTGGGAGGTGAAGAGAGAAGATGAGAGGTAAAACAAGCATGCTAATCTCTCATTTTTCATAATAAACAATCATCTAATAACTGCCTCAAACTGAAACTTGTAGGTTTAAAATGATGTCAACTTCTTCGTGGATTTCGTAAACTTGACTTCTTTTTGTTCTTTTAAAATCGGGTAATACTTTTATTTCAAAATAGGAAGTAAAAACAATTCCATTATTAAAAAATGGTGTTTCCCTCTATTGCTCTCTCATTCCCTCCCTTGCTTGTTCTCCTTTTTTCTCTCTCTTGCTGTCTCTCCATGCAACCACTTTTCTTTTTTTTTTTTTCTATTTTTTTGTCTGCCCTACACGGCATGCCAGATCTTAGTTCCCCAGCCAGGAATCGAACCTGCGCCCCCTGCAGTGGAAGCACAGAGTCCCAACCACTGGACCGCCAGGGAAGTCCCTGCATCCGACTTTTCTATTTGCCTTTTGCCCATACATAGAGTTCTAGAATAACAGGTCTCAGATGTTAATTTAGCTCATTTCTGGGCAGTGGCATTTGGGATGATTGGTCGTGTTCTATGTTACTTGATTTTTTTTTTTTATTTTAATGAGCAAGTAAATTTTTATTAGAAAAAAAAAGCCACTGCAAAGAAAAAAACTCTACTTCCTTTCTAATGTTTCTAAATAAAACAGTCTACTGGCAAAAAGGGAAGTCTTCTGGCATTTTAAAGAAATTCCGAAGTTAATTTACATTCCCCTGAAATAAGCATGTGATGACAGAGAAATGATCCCAGAGCTAGGTGAGTACAAGCAATAGTACATTTGATGAGTCAGAGCTTTTTGAAGCCTGGGTGAAGCCCTCCTGATTTAGTCAACATTTCAGTGTGTTTAATCCTGATTTCAGCTTGCTGGGAAAGGAATTTCAGCCATGCTGACCATCTTCTCTCTTTAGGAGTTTTGCATAACTTGCATCACAGTCCATTTTGCCAGCCAAGCAATCACCAACACCAATGGGGTGAGTGGGGCCTCTTCTGTGGAAGATAATCTGAGTATGTGCTGAAGGAATACAGACTTCAGTGTCAGCTAAGTCCCACTGGGGGCTTACCACAGCGCTCTTGGCCCTCTTCCCTGACGGGACCAGGGAGGTTACTGAACAGGATTATAGTAACAATATTGTTTGCTTGTTTCATTCTTTCCAGTCTGTCCTTGGTATTCCAATTGTGTATGCAAATAGTCCCTTGACAACAGGGTGGTCCTCAGTTCCTCCCAGAAATGATGGCCACCAAGCTCATACCACCTAATACCACTAGGTATTAAAAGAAAAAGGAGGCTCAATGCAATCTCACGGGGTAAAACTACCCACAGAAACTTCTTAAGAAGCGGCCTCGACTCTCCACGATGATTGCTGACCTTTAAAGACTGTGTTTCAGATTTGTTCTTAGTTTATCACGAATGATAACTGCATGGATCTCCCTGCCACTGTTTCTTCCTACATATGCCACTACCACTCACTGGCAAAGGCGAAGGGCCAGAGGACTGGAAATGACTGCAACTCTCTTAAAGTTAGAAAATTTCCTGTTAATGTTACCCTTTCCTCAATAAGATGTTACTAGGAACAGAAGCCTTTTTTGGTATTTTTCTATTCATTTGGTTTGTTATTGGTTGTTAAGTAGGAGATCTGACAAAATGTTGCAAAGCAGACTGATAAAACTTCTTTGATGATGATTTACAGGGTGTCCAAGTAGAAATGTTATATCCTACCACAGAAGTTATATGCCTATTATTAATATGATGCTATTTAAAGCCCTTACGGTAGTTTCATTCTGGAATATCTAAAAATGTATTCATTAATTCATTCATTTGCTCAAAAAAGGTATTACATTACTACTTTGTGACCAAACACTGTGCTATTCAATTACATAAAATTAAGATTTTACGTACTTTTTATTTGGGGTAGTATAAAATGGGATAAAGTGGGCTTTATTGAAATGCCAGTGTACACATGTTTTTTTTTTCAGGTACAAGTAACAAATGCTGGGTTTAAGTACAAAGACTTCACCCCAAAAATATAACTTAAACTGTATGAGAAAAACCAAAGTGCATCCTATATTTAGTCTCTTCATTCCTCAGAAGAATACAGGTTATTATTAGACCTCTAGGGTGTCTTCCAATTCTAAGGTTAATAATTCGTCATGAAATACATGGGTTCAAGAATTATCTTTCCACCCTTGTACACTGTTGGTAGGAATGTAAATTGGTGCAGCCACTGTGGAAAACAGTATAGAGGTTTCTCAAAAAACTAAAAATAAAAACTACCATATGACCCAGCAATTCCACTCCTGGGTATATACCCAAAAAAAAAACCCCAAAACACTAAATCGAAAAGATACATGCACCCCAATGTTCACAGCAGCATTATCTGCAATTGCCAAGACATGGAAACAACCTAAGTGTCCATCAACAGATGAATGGATAAAGAAGATGTGGTACATATATACAGTGGAATAGTATTCAGCCATAAAAAAGAACAATATTTTGCCATTTGCAGCAACATGGCTGGACTTGGAGGCTATTATGCTAAGTGAAATAAGTCAGTGAAAGATAAATACTGTATGATATCACTTATATGTGGAATCTAAAAAATATAACAAAATTAGTAAATATAACCAAAATAAAGCAAACACAGATATAGAGAACAAACTAGTGGCTACCAGTGGGGGGAGGGGGGTGTGCAATATAGGGGTGAGGGAGTGAGAGGTATAAACTGTTGGGTGTAAGATAGGATCAAGGATGTATTGTGCAACATGAAGAATATAGCCAACAATTTTGTAATAACTGTAAATGGAAAATGACCTTTAAAAATGTATAAAAATTAAAACTTTAAAAAAATAATACTTAAGCCAGAAACCAAAAAAAAAAAAAAAGAAAAAAGAAACGAATTCTTTCCAAAATCCATAAATGTATCTTAGATACATACATATCATTGATTCACACCAGGCCTACACAACATTTCAGGAAGCTCTTTTTCCCAGAGCGTGTTTTGCGTTTGTCACATCCCACTAAAAATCAATCAGTCACAATTGTCCCCTTCTCCCAAGGAGCTGGCCAAACCTATCCTGAATTTGGGTGATTGGGAGGGGGCGTGCAGGGAGTCCCTAGGCATCTATGTGCAGGAGTGATTTGAATCAGGGGAAAGATCTGGAGGAAGCTGTGAGTTCACGTATGTGAAGCTTGAGCTGAAAGGCCAGGAAGCGAGGTCCAGTTCCCAGCCTGGCCTCTGTGATGGGTTTGATCCCCCTGGAGAAAGGCATATTCTCCTCATTTGTGCACGGACTATAACCAGGTTCCTGCTCTGTAAGGAGGACCGAAGAAAATGCAAGGCTGTCTGAACACACCCAGGACTCGGAGCTTGAGGGGAGCTGGGAGATAGCAGCTGGGGTCAAGCGGCCTTCTCCCAGAGAAGCAGCTGCAAAGCCCGAGAAGGCTAAGATGTAGAAGGAAACTGGGTGCCCCACACACGCGGCAGAGGCTCAGCGGAGGCCTGCGGTGCTAGAAAACAATGTGAAAATTCTGGGGACTCCCAGAAATACTTCGGAAGTGGGGATGGGCAGAGAGTTGAGGTGTGCCTGGGCAGGTAGGGGTGCAAGCCAGGCAAGTGTGGCCATATCGCCAGTGATTCCTCATTCCCACAGGCTGAAGAGGTCTCAGACAGCAGCATTTCCCTAAAATCGGCTGTTTCTGCCTTTCTCCCTTCATTTCGTAATGAAAACAAAGCCTTTCTCTCTCCAAACTATTCTCTACAATTTATCACGTAGAAATGTTGTTCCTCTCCTCAAGCCCACCTCCTCTCCATGCCTCAGTACCCTGACTTCACTCTAAAAATGGGTAGCTGTTTACTCAATTCTACCAACTCAGCAGTACTCAGCCAGCTTCACTCAATCTCTCTCTCCACATGTGGTCTTCACCCAGTTTAAGCCTCACTCACAATTTTATTTTATTTTTCACAACTCCTCTCACTCCCCCAAATATTTAGCAACACTTTAAAATATGGTACGGGTGGGTTTCCCTGGTGGCGCAGTGGTTGAGAGTCCGCCTGCCGATGCAGGGGATGTGGGTTCGTGCCCCGGTCTGGGAAGATCCCACATGCCGCAGAGCGGCTGGGCCCGTGAGCCATGGCCGCTGAGCCTGCGCGTCTGGAGCCTGTGCTCCGCAGCGGGAGAAGCCATAACAGTGAGAGGCCTGCGTACTGCAAAAAAAAAAATAAATAAAATAAAATAAAATATGATACGGGGATCGCTCAAGATGGTGGAGTAAGAGGACATGGAAGTCGCCTCCCACCATAAACGCATCGAAAATACATCTACACGGGCTTCCCGGGTGGCACGGCGCAGTGGTTAAGAAACTGCCTGCCAATGTAGGGGACACGGGTTCGAGCCCTGGCCTGGGAAGATCCCACACGCTGCGGAGCAACTAAGCCCATGCGCCACAACTACTGAGCCTGCGCTCTAGAGCCTGCAAGCCATAACTACTGAGCCCACATGCCACAGCTACTGAAGCCCGTGCGCCTAGAGCCCGTGCTCCGCAACAAGAGAAGCCACAACAATGAGAAGCCCGCACACCAAAACGAAGAGTAGCCCCCGCTCATTGCAACTAAAGAAAGCCCTCGCACAGCAACGAAGACCCAATGCAGCCAAAAATAAATAAATAAATTTATTTATTTAAAAAAAAATACATCTACACGTGAAAAGATGCTCAACATCACTAAACATCAGGGATATACAAATCAAACCCCCAACGAGATTTTTTTGATCTGTCAGAACGGCTATGATCAAAAAGTCTACAAATAACAAATGTGGCTGAGGATGTGAAGAAAAGGGAACCCTTGTGCACTGTTGATGGGAATGTAAATTGGTGCAGACACTGGAAAACAGTATGGAGGTTTCTCAAAAAACTAAAAATAGAACTACCATATGATCCAGCAATTCCACTCCTGGGTATATATCTAGAAAAAAACAAAAACACTAATTTGAAAAGATATATGCACCCCAATGTTCACAGCAACATTATTTACTATTGCCAAGATATGGAAACAACCGAAGTGTCCATCAACAAATGGATGGACAAAGAAGATGTTGTATATATACATACAATGGAATACTGCTCAGCCATAAAAAAGACTGAAATTTTGCAATTTGCAGCAACATGGATAGACTTGGAGGGCATAATGTTACGTGAAATGTCAGACAAAGATAAATACTGTTATGATATCACTTATACGTAGAATCTACAGAATACAACAAACTAGTGAATATAACAAAAAAGAAGCAGACTCTCAGATATAGAGAACAAACTAGTGGTTACCAGTAGCGTGGGGAGGAGGGGTTATATAGAGGTAGAGGAATGGGAGGTACAAGCTACTGGGTGTAAGACAGGCTCAAGGATGTACTGTACAACACGGGGAATACAGCCAATACTTTGTAATAACTGCAAATGGAAAGTAACCTTTAAAAATTGTATAAAAATTTTTTGAAAATCTACATGTGGAACAATCCTCACTGAAAACTAACTGGAAACTGGCAGAAGGACCCCTGTACAACCAAGCCTGTAAGACAGATACAATATGTAATCAGGTAAAGGAAGAGAAGTGATCAGATCAGGATCTGTGACCCCAGGAGGCAACTCAGAGGAAAAGGGAGATTACATGGGTGGACACCCACCCTAGGGAGTGAGGGTGTGAACCACTTACTGGGCACCACAGCCCAGAGGTCTGACGTGGGGAATATGAGCCCTTGGCTGGTTGGAGAGCTTCTGGGACTAACAGGAAGGCTGTGGGAAGCCTGGACTCTGCCTGTGAGGAGCCCCAGAGCACTGGCTTGCCCCCAAGGACTGCTCTAGTGCATGTCCAGTGTCCCGCAACTGCCCCTCCCCAGGCAACCCAGCATGAGCGCAGTGAACACTCCAGCCACTCTTACCCTACGTCACAGCTCTGCACTGGACCGAGGGCTGCCACTACCAAGGAGAGAGCTTGGTCTGGGACTCGGACCCGGGGCTGCACCTGAGCAGGGCGAGGGCAACAACTGCTGGCACCTGCAGAGGTGGCACATCGGAGGCAGCTGAGACCTCTGCCTGTGGCCGACCCTCCACAGCCCATACCCTGACACGAGCAGAGAGCCTGCGTGTCCCCCTCTTGCTTCAGCACTGCTCCACCGTGGGGCAAGGGTCCCAGTGCTGGGAGAGAGAAAGCACACACCTAAAGAGAACAGAGCCGACCCTGGGCTCAGAGCTTCTGCCCCAGCAACTT